GAAAACAAAGCAAAAAAATATCCGTGTGAGAAGAGGCGTTAGTCAGCAATGGGCATTTTTAGGCTGTTGGTGATGATGACATTACTTATTACTTCATTGATTCAAACACAGGGCCTGTTAAGTTTATAAAAACAAAACTAAAAATATTTTTACTACATTTAAATCAACACAGAACTAACAAATCTCCTTACAAATTGGAGTCCTTACAACACAAAATAGGATATTTTGAGAAATAGACGTGAATTGCTTTTGTATTCTAACACCTTGTACAATACAATAAGGTTTTATTCCCAAGAGCATTGTACCGTGTCCTATTGAACAATGGGTAAAGGAAAATGATATTTATTTACGAAAAATGTTTTTCTTTTCATCCTATATTCGCTTGACTGCTTTGTTAGTTTAGTATAAGTGGGGTGGTTGAATTTTATTTCAATATTTTAGCCAAGGACGTTGTAAAAGGCGGACATAATGTCACTTAGAAGTGACTGAAGCACACAATGTCAGAACTTCATTTATAGTGTCCGTGTGTGATGCATGTCCACTGAAACTGTGCTGGGTGACTTGTATGCCTAGCTTACACTGAGTGGGTGACCCTTTTAGCATAGGCATGTTATCAGCGTCTCTCTTCTGATTCTTCTGTTTTAATTTTTCAACTCAATGTTTTTATTACTTCCACTGTCACACCTTTATTGTCTTTTTTATAATTTATTTATGCTGCATCATGCCTGGTGCTGAATAAATGTTTTTATTTCGTTTTTAATGGGTTACTACGTTACCAGACTTAAGAAAATGACAGATGTCCTTCGTGTCAATGTGTGTATTGTGCGTGTAAGTCTATAGTAGCCAGGTGCCACAGATGTTGTTACAAGAGACTACGTCCGCCTTTTATCTTAGCTAATATAACTAGGTGTAGTATGAAGACTTTTTATTTCCAAAGTGATTCGCTGGTTGGAGGCTGGAACTGTTTTAGGCAATAAGTTTACTCCTTATAACATAAAGGAGAAAAGTGGGTCATATAACGTAGACTGTCTAGTTATTGATTATCTGATTAATGACGTATGTCTATTTCTCAAAATATTGAACTGAAACATATTATGATGTTATCAGAACATCGTTATAAGAGCCTCTAATTACAATGAAACTAGACATTTTGTTTTCAGAATTACCACCTACGCAATGTGTAGCTGGCTCATTAGTATCTCCAATATTAGTTATTTGAGATAATGTTTTAATTATCAGATAACATGTTATGAAATGAAATGAAATGAAACTTTATTTGTGATACATAGGTACATTTGGTTGGTCATTTTTAGATTAAAGTGCGCTATGATCAGCCTATTTTAGGCATACAAATACTCGTATAAGAGTTTAAATCAGTAAGTCGATTAATTAGTTAGATAAGTAAATATGAATTTGTCGTGTTTTAATAAATTATATGTCAATAGTGTTCGTCAAAAAGTCAGATGAGGAAGACTACTTAATGCTTAATAAATTATAATAAATTGATGTCAATAAGTAGGTAATTAATAGATTATTGTAGTCAATACGTTATAGCTAAACATAAGTCAACAAATAAGCAAAATCAAAATTTATCCATTAAAAAATCTAAGACACTATAATAACATTTTTGACACAGTAATTGTTTTAAAGATTTTTAAAATAATTAACATTAGCTTGTTTTAGCTCTTTAGGTAATTTATTATAGATAGCTGGAGCCATACGAAAGATACTTTTATGCATTAATGCGGTATTCGTTCTGGGTATACACAGACGACTTTCATCCCTTTGTGGCCGATTATAAGCTTCAGATAATAAAATAAAGCGTTGAGGATTTTGCTTTACAAACACCGCGGTTTCATAAATGTATAGTGATGGTAAGGTCATAAGATTGTGTCTTTTGAAGAAAGGTACACAGCTGTCAGTGGCCTTCAAACCAAACATAGCCCGGACGCACCTTTTCTGTGCCCTGAAGACAAGAACTTTGTTGGTTGTTACTGTAGTTTGAGTATGTTATGTCTGGGTATATTAAAATAGAATTGATAAATACTCCGTCTATCGTAAGCTTTTTAATTGGAATGTAAAAAAAACGCATTAGATTAAAACGTTATTTTCTTTTTTACACATAATTATACTTTCTCTCTCTTCTCTATTAAGTTTATTAACTGTTTAACAATTCATTCTACTCTGAAAAATAAGTACTTTTCCAAGAGGGTTTGATGTAGAGAACAGGAAAATAATAACTATACCTCTAGTGAACTCATCTAATTCTGTGACTCGCCTAATAATTCGGTTTAGTAAATTTGGTAGAACAAGAGTTCTACCAAATTTTACTTTTTCTAGAAACCTAAGAAGGTTTCTAGAAAAAAATCTGATTATTTGTGCTAATATTCCTCATAAAAGACTGATTAAAACTCATGCGGAGACTGAATTAAATTAATTAATAATTTATTGGTATTTTATTACTCAAATGCCTTTGTCACGAAGTTAGATGAGTTCACCCTAATTAATTAGTAAATTATAAATTAAAAACTGCCTCGTTGGCCGAGTGATCGCAAGTGCGACTGCTGGGCAAAGGGTCTCGGGTTCGATTCCTGGGTTGGGCAATAAAAGAAAGGGTTTTTTTTATATCTCAGTAGTAGCACAGGGTTTTAAATTGTCAACCCCTATTACATGGGACTTACAACATAAATAGTTAAAACAGGGTATGACATTGTATAGTGGCATTAAGTGCCGTAGATGCCTACCCCTTCGGGGATAAAAGGCGTGATGTTATGTTATGTACAAATTAAAGACACCAAACAGAATTCAAAACCTGTGATCTTCAAAATCAAAACCGATTTGAAAACTTTTAATAGTGTATTGTTATGAAAATTTAATTTAGAAAGTTGTAAGCCCTTTACATTGCGTGTGGTTTGTGAACACCGCGAGAGTTTAGTGGTTGCAGAGTAACTCGATATTAAATTGAAAGAAACAGAAAATAATGGACAAAGTTCACAACTAGTGTTGTGGTTTTATAAAGGTTTATTGGTCAAATGTACAGTTTTATGTACTAAAATGTTGCTCTACTAATATAATATTGACAACTTTGGAATGTATATGTATTGGTGGAATTTATATATTCAAAAGTTTCGTGAAAAGAGAGTCAAGTCAAGTCAAAGAGAGTCGTGAAAATTGGGCTCGTGAAATCTTCCTAAGTGCTCTAAATTATGGCGAAATTCCAGTTCTGTAACGCCAGGCCCAAGCTTCTAAGGAGTTCGGGTTTCTCCTTTGGTATTTTATTGTGTATGGCTATATACTGAATGCCCATCATTCATAATGAGTTCAACAGGATTGCTTTAAACTTTAATTATCAATACCCAAATCGTATTATGCTTCAGAAAACAACCTCTAGTCTAACATCACATTCATTGTCACAAATCTTACGATATAAAACCGAACCTTACATACACGTGTCACAATATCTATTGGATTTAACCTCATAAGGGTAACATACGATGGGTAAGTGACAAGACGAGACATAATGCCACTTTTGTTAGCAAATTCAAAGAGTTTCTTTTGTTGGTTTTTGGCAGATGTGAGTATTAGTAAATTGACAGCAGTCAATTATAGTAGTAGATCGAGACGTGCTTACTGTACCTAGGTAACATAACATCACGCCTTTTATCCCCGAAGGGGTAGCCAGAGGTGCACATTGCGGCACTTAATGCCACTGTATAATGTAACACCTACTTTTCATTATTTATGTTATAAGTCTCATGTAATACCTACGGTCTATTGCCATATACCGGGCACGTTTTCAGACTCCGTGCTACGACTGAGATTTTTAAAAACACAGTAATACTTTGCGCGACCCGAGAATCGAACCCGAGACCTTTTGCCCGGCATTCGCACTAGCGACCACTCGGCCAATGAAGCAGTCTAGGTATAAATTAAGTATTTTGTTTTATTAGAAAGGTATCAAGTATCGAAACTGACATCCAACATTAAATTATTGAATTATTGATTTGATAATATGTATAGCTATTTATATAAAAATGAAACCCGTTGCCCGTTGTCACGCCATAACTTGAGAACGGATGGACCGATTTGGCTGATTTTTTATTGTGTTTGCTATTGTCAGGAGAAGGTTCTTATAACAGAAAAATCCTGGAAATCCTACGGGAACGGGAGAAAACGGGATTGCGCGTACGAAGTCGCGGGCAGAAGCTAGTAGTTTAATACAAATTATGTCTTTTTTTACTTTTTTATTTACTGAAAATTTCACACAATATGTACAGGATACTGTTGTTATTTACAAAACCAACATCATTTCATTTCATGCAATTTCATTGTTAAAACGAATCAAATTGTAGCATGTCTGTCTGTTCATAATTACAGTAGTTTGTCAATAATTGCTTCGGAAACCAATCAATTAGTTCATTTTGTTTAAGAGTCTCATTACATGTAGTGTTAATTTGATGCATGGGCACTACATCTCTTCATTTGTAATTAATTTCAACCGGTGTACAGTGAACAGCATAATAATGGTTCGTGGAATCTTTGTTGATTTTTGTGTGAAATATTGCGTTTTAATTGGGTAAAATACTGTTGGATTTCCTCGTTGGCCGAGTGGTTGCAAGTGCGACTGCCGGGCAAGGGGCCTTGGGTTCGATTCCCTGGTCGAGCAAAGTAATATTAGCTTTTTTTAAAAATCTCAGTAGTAACACGGAGTCTGGAATTGTGTCCGGTATATGGCAATAGGCTCACCCTCTATTACATGGGACTTATAACATAAATAGTGAAAAGTGGGTGTTACATTATATAGTGGCATAATGTGCACCTCTGCCTACCTCTTCGGGGATAAAAGGCGTGATGTTATGATGTTATATGTTTTTATCTACACACATAATGGCAATGTGGACTTTTTACCTGACTGTACGCCTATTGATACCCACAACACAAGAGGATTCACAATTGCGTTGCTGACCGTTTAAGAAGTTGTTAAATAAAGAGGTACGTACCATAGCGAGCTTCCTCCCCCTCGGGTGCCTGCGCCGTGAGGGTGGATAACTCCTTCTCCAGGTCGACCTGGTGCTCTCCTGCGTCCCATGACAGCAGCCCTGGAACAAACGATTAGAATATTAGTATTGGTTTTAATGACAATGATGAAATTAAATACTTTAATGGTTTTTTTAAGGGGGAATATCATCGAATGAGTGCTCCCGCCTGGGTGAGGCGGGAGGGAGTGTCAGACTCTTACTGACTAAAAACCACCCCGTTCCTTTTCCTGCTCGCGTCGAGCCGGAGCCCCTGTAACCCGTTAGGTTCTCCGCGACATACTTAAATTGATTATGTCGTTTAGTCTGAGTAAAAACAAATTTGCTAAAAAGGTTTATCAAAAGCGTACGAATATGTATTGTGAATCGCCTAAAAAGACAAAATACAATAGAAAAAATTTGAATTCAAAGACGTAGCATTCGTTTTGATTGTAAGATCCAACGTTTAACTCGTGTTAACACAATGGATTCTCTAGTTAATCCGTTTATCAAACCCCCGTAGACAAACATGGAGTAAAAACTTTACTATATTTAAGCTCCAACAGACAGTACGAAATTCATTTTAAAACAATATTATATTCGGAAATAAAACCGTAATTAAAACGAGTACAGGCAGCATTTACATAATATTCTTTAAACAAAACGCTTCGCTTCACAGCGTTATATGAAAAGGACGTAAATATACGAGCATATAAAGTTAACTACACGTGTGGAGGAAAGGAAGTAATGAAGGAAATTATGCACCGGTATACAGCACGTGTGTTGCAGAATAATAAATGTGGGCAGTTCTCATTTTTTCATTGCATTATAGAATAATATATGTCGACAGTTTTCATTTATTTATCTAATAGCGACTCGCCCCGGCTTTGCACGGATGCAATGTGCATGTATTATACATATAAATCTTTCTTAACTCTTTGAGTACCGTCATTATAGACACAATTAAAGAACAATAGGTTGCGGTCACCGGTGTCGTCGCGGTGTTTGACAGTTTAAGAATCATACTATCTACTAAAAAAACCGCATCAAAATCCGTTGCGTAGTTTTAAAGATCTAAGCATACATAGGGACAGACAGACGGCGGATAGACTTTGTTTTATACTATGTAGTGAGTAGTGATTTAAGACATCAAAGGTCCACTGTGTTAGTCACAAAATGAAAATACGAAACATCTTTACAATATTAAGTATGTTAGTAAGCACATTAAATAGAAAAAACAATATAGAAAACAAGTACAAATCAAATACACACACAGAAAATAGACACATGCAATATGTTGGTTTTGCTAATGTTAAGCAATTTTGAGACCAAACACGTGGGGTAAGTTTTTGTACTAAAATTTCATAAAAAGACTGACCTGTCTTTTTTTGTTCTGTCAAACACCAAGCGGTCACCCGTGACCGCGACCTATTGTTCTTTAATTGTGTCTATAAAACCTGTACTCGACGAGTTAATTGAAATAAATGCTTTGACTTTGAAATCGAACTGATAAGTTTTAATATATCTAGGCGGCTTAAATAAAGAATTGTGAATCTGAATTTCACAAAATTGCTTCTGCAAAATAAAAAAATAACATGAAATTATCGAAAAACCAATTTGAAAAGGATAAACAAATAAATAAGGGATAAGAAGATCACTGAAATCAGATTCTAAAAACGATTTTCGAGAAGTAATCCGACTGTTTTTTGACGAACAATCCTTAAGGATTAGAAGGATTTTGGGCTTAACTTAAATATTTAATGGATTGACGAAGATTTAGAATTTTATTAAAACGTTTCAAGATTGGATATTTATTTTTCTAGATGATTCATTTTTTGTATTATCTGAGCTATGAATTACGAAAAGTTGTGTGCGTAGAAAGCAGATAAAATAAATAAGACTTTTTATCTTTTCACAAACAATAAAGACTAATAAAGAACCTAGAGAAAAATGATAATATAAATTCTCAATAGTTTAACAATATCTAGGACCGGTTGGTTGTATCTACTATAGAGCCTGGCTTACAGGAGTTGCAGCGGTTATGGGAGGATGTGGCGGGCTTGTCCCATTAAAAAAAATCTAGTACCGCGACAGATATAAGCAATAATTAGAGTAAATTACAACACTTCGACTTATTCTTGGTGAAAAAACAAAGTAAATACATGTTCATAAATAATAAACAAGATCAATATAAGAAAATAAATAAATAACACCAAAATTCGAGAGCATCTAGGGCACCCAGCAAATAAATATCAATCTAGGACAGTTATCTTTTTCCTTTCCTCTTCTTTCTCTTTAATTATTCACACAATTGCGTCTTTTTGCGACGCGACGCGACGGTACGACGTTCCTTTTTTTATCTTTTATTCATTCGCCTATTTGGGACAACTTTGTATCTTTTCAGCTTCGAAATGTAATCTTCGTTTTTTTTTTAAAGTGACGTTGCGTGATTGCAAATTATTTTGAAATGTATTCCGATGATAATAGGTTTGATATCTTTTGATAATACAAAAATGTTTGGGCTATTGTAGCTGTGATAATTGATCATATCGCTATTTTGATTGGCATACTCTATTGTATAAAATTTCTAATTGAAGTTATTGATCAGTAGGAGAATGATTCTGTTGTCCAATGAATTTCAGATCTTGCGACGCGACACAATATTTTACTGACGATTGTCTCCAATTTTCAAATACCTTTAACTATAATATAACGAACATAACATCACGCTTTTTATCCCTGAAGGGGTAGGCAGAGGTGTACATTATACCACTGTACCCACTTTTCACTATTTATGTTATGAGTCCCATGTAATAAGGGGTGAGCCTATTGCCATATACCGGGCACATTCTAGACTCCGTGCTTCTACTGAGATTTTTTGAAAACCCAGTAATATAATATAACAACTGTAATAATATCATTGTCAGTATAATTTTACTGAACCAAAACCACAACAAACTATTACGACATTAAAACTATAAATGGAAAATAACCCAGTATATTTCCAGAAGCACTATTGAGCTAAGTCGTACAATGTGTATCGTAACCCGGCCATATCTCTGGAGAACACGCCCTGTATACCAGAGCTAGAAATAAAACAATATACAGTCGACACTAGGGTTGTGGCGCAATATGTTCTAATTAAACCTCCGTGGACGAGTGTGAGGGATGATAGCTGTGTGGCGTTCAGTTTTGTTATTTCCTACGTAGGTATTAGAGTTTCATATAAGTTAACACGTTTGTTATCAAGGCTGGTTGAGTTGAAATTAAACTGTTTACGCCATAGTATAATAATATAGGTAGTTTTACATAATGGCAGTAGGTAGTTGCTAATCAACTATGACTCTTTGACATATTAACGTATATTGTATCCTTATTCTCATTGCCTTACAGGTGTAAAAGTTAACTACGTAAGTCTTAAAAAAATACTCAAAAGTCCGTTTTCACCAACCTCTTCTAAAATTTAAGAAACCCCTAAGATAGGTGACATTTAATGATATTTGGTTCTCACCAACCTATGAGTGATACAGAACAGAACAAGTAAGGGGTTAGTTTAGGTACTACGTCTCACTAAGTAACATTTAGTTAAGAGGTAGTTTAAGAGTAGTTGAGAATAACGGGCATAAATGTAGCTATTAGAGTAAATATAATAAAATACCGTATATAGAATAATAAACAGCATTTACAATGCGCCTGACATAAGGTCGGGAGTGCAATACATTTTAATTAAACCGCTGGGAGTGATGGATCTCACTCTAATGATAATACAGTATGATGAATGCTCAGCTTCTATTGTTTATTTATTACTGTTTATAGTTCCAGTAAATACAATACGTACTGAGTGCCTACGAAGTTTCATTTTATAATTTAGCTGATTAGTTAGTATTAGTTCAATCTATTCTAGTTTCTGCTTCAATCAAACATCTATAAAAATCTATACAAACTACAATACTTTAAATAAACACGATCAAATAACGACAAAATTATTTTTATGTTCGACTTGATTATACACATAGAAGTAAGGGAAAATGTAACAATTCTTTGAAAACTAAGTACAGGATCAAAGCTAAAAATGTCACCGAATAAAATCTAGAATTACTTTCAGATCCGAAAGTCTGAGAACGCAAATTGGAGCTACAAAGGGTATAAAAAATGAAATTTTATAAAAGTAAAATATCGTGGGAAATGGCTCACAAGAACGTAGATTGAAAGCCGGAGGGCTATTGAAGGAAAAGTTAACGAAATGGAAAACTTTAAAGAGCTCCAAATGGGGTTTTTGGGAGTTAGGCGTACGGACCAACCATTGTACTTACAATTTGTATTAACATAAATTAGCTTAGCCGGAATATTTTTGGATGAATACCAAATGTAACGGTTTTTACTCTTTAAATAAATGGTAAAGTAAAGATGAACTTACTGAAGACTTTGCCAGTAACTTTATAATATAAACTAGCTACTTCCGCGCGGTTTCACACGCTATCCTCAGCTCCTATTGGTCGTAGTGTTTTATAGCCTATAGCCATCCTCGGTAAATGCGCTATCCAACACAAAAATAATGATTCAAATCAGACTTGTAGTTCCAAAGATTAGCGCGTTCAATCAAACAAACAAAAAAACAAACTCTTCCGCTTTATATACCTTAATAGTATAAGATATAAGATAAATAAAAAGAACACTTATCATTTTGATATTTTGACCAACTTAGGTACTAATCTTAGTCAAGCGAAAATCGATTCTAATTACATATCGTCCCATTAGTAGAATAATGTTCTATTTGCAAATTGTCGACTTTTCAGTAGAGCGATTATAAATTTCGCGCGCACACATTTGCTTATAAATCTGTTATAAATGATACTAGCTACTTAATATTTGTACAGTATGTACAGAAGTTAGTACCGTTTATGATAATATAATTATTTATTTTATAAACTATGCCTTTCCAAGGATAATGGGTCGCATGTGCACATACAACGTTCTTTTGCCAAAAAAAATATTGAATGAGGTGTGTTAAGGATACATAAAACAATATTCGACGAAACTATTCACGATACATCTGCATATCAAACATTATTTTACAAATTTTCGCGGTTGTATCCGTGTTTTATATGAAATTGTTTTACTAAGAAAGTAGAATAGGTTATAAATTCATCATTATTACTGGGTATTTTTATATATTTAAAACCGTTGGTGTATTCTTAATCAATTTATTAGTCAATGTAATAATCAATATACGATTAAATTAAAAATAAATACAAACTGATTACATACACTTTGACGAATACATTTAACTATTATAAAATTATTAAAATAGGTGACAGAAAACAGAATAAAGCTCTTACAATTCTTACAAAATAAAATACATGGCGATTCATAAGAAAAAATATTATAGATCACTTAAAACTAACTACTGACTTATTTCTTTCCGTGGTTATTCTTATGAATAAATCAGTCCTATATAATTATAATATAAATTTAGCTTAATAATAAAAACATGATTAGTAATAACACATTATTTCATAAATTACGAATTTATTCTTAGTAACTCAATTACATTTAAAGTCAGTCTTTTTGGGTACTTTGCAAATAACACAATAAATAATTATGACACCATTATGAATATAATAAAAAAATATTAAAAATCAATAATTAGTCTCAAACATAAAAAACAATTAAGTATATCAAATATTCCGAAAACAAAACTAAAGAAACTAAAGAACAAACAATATACTAACTACTAGTCTACTAAAGAGGAAAGATTTAATTTTTTGTTTGTTTGAATTGAATAGGCTCCGAAACTACGGGGCCGATTTAAAAATTCTTTTAGCGTTGGAATCTTACATTCTACATCCTTGATGAGAAAAAGAAGAGAGCCGTGTGGAAATTTTGATAATGTAACCATATTTGTGAAAAAGCAACCATAAATATTGCTTAAACTATTGACTGCTAATAGAAAACTGTAAAAGCAAATGCTTTTTTTTTCTTTTGGAGACCTATCCCCAATCCTTTAAAAGAGCGCGATCAAAGCCTTGGGTAGAAGCTAGTCCATGAAAATAACGTATTCAGTTCATTGAATTAGAAAATCCCTGATACTAATGCAGTTAAATAGTAGTATTAGTCCTTGAAAACCCGTAGTATTTCATTTTTCAAAAGTAATTTTTAGTCCGTCAAGATCAAATTTACTATGAAAGTTTGTCCGTCTCCTTTAAGTAATAGTGTATTAATTAGTAGCGTCTCACCGGTACAAATCAGGCCACATTATAAGTACCAAAGTAATAACCCGGAAGTCCCAGAATTAGAATATGTTCTATATCTCAGGACTCTATCTTTTAAACCACTGAACGTACTTGATTGAAATTTGGTTTACGGTTAACTGGCACTGAAAGGACTTATGATTGTTGTATTTTGGAAATCCTACGGGATAGGAACTCAGCGTTAATGGTCACAAACGCTAGTGATCATGTCTTCTACGATTGCCTTCCTTTAATTTTTGTGGCGGTCTCTGTAAAATTGCAATTCTTTGGTATATCCCGATTCAAACATCTGTTTTTCGTCTTAGCGGTGGACTTTATTTCATATTCCCTACTTAATGCAAATTCCAGCTCAAAGGTAGTCTGTTCCACTGGTACCATAAACTCACCAATTGAGCCCCTGCTCCCTGCTGCTTCATCATCGTATAAGAAATCATAATTCAAAAATGTAATAATAAAATTAAAAATAAAATTATGTTGGATATAATTATTTTTCCTTTGATTCTGTAAAAGTAACAAGAAGTTTATGCATAACATAATAGTTTAAAAAAAATCAGTAAAATAAATGTACGTACATAACTTAGATATGTGTAATTTGATGAGCGCTCGAGTGGTCTACTGTGGTAGTACGCACTCACTTTTTCACGTGTTTAATATTTTTTTGCTCTAAACTGGGAGTTTGAAAAATAAACTATTTCGATTTTTCTAATACAGAGGAAACATGTCAAAAAAGGGACGCGTGCACTCTTGTGTTTAGGTCCATTGGTATTTTCAATGTAAACTTATATTAGTTACTTTTTTGCTGTACCTACCTAGTCTAAACGGTACATTTAGTTGTTAATAGATTATTGAACAAGCTGTACATATTTTAAATTAAATTTAACCATTTTATAGCAATTTTAAGATTTCGAATATTGTTTTATAATAAAACCGTTGGTAAAAAAAGTGTCATTTGCATATACGGCACTCACTTTAATTATTTTTTTTGTAGAATAATGTTTTATGCGTACTTGCGGACGAAAAAAATACAAAATTTTACGTAGTAAAATGTACTTAGTTCATAAGAAACTGGAAAAATAGGGGAAAAAATAAGACAAGTGCTATTAGATACCGCCGTGTTATATAAGTTATTATTAAAATATTTAGTTCAGATTTAAGTTCTAATAAGTAAGCTTTGGTATTTCGTAAAACAATGTTTTATGTGATTGTAAATACTGTCTTTGTGGGTAATTAATAAAACGTCGTGTAAATTGTATCAAACCATTATATACAACAAATTTTATCAAATTTTGGGTATTCATCGTAACAAACACAACTCGCTGCTATTTCGTCGAACAACGTTACTTATGATGAAGTGACACGGCACGCGCAGCTAATTGCGCGGGAGCAAGGCGGAGAATATTGTTGTATGTGATCATGCGTAGTTATTTTACGTAGTCGACGCGGATAAAACTTTATTCGATCATTGTATCTTTTGAATTAATGGATAAAAATATATAAAAATAGTATCAATCGATAGTTTACATTATAAGGATGACGAATTTACCATAATATGAATTTTGACACATGTGATTATAACACTTTATTCTTCCAATGGGACGATATGATCAACTCTTACATAGGCACTTACTTACCGTGTAAATATTTAATGCTCTGATACAATTATCTCTTAAAAAGACAGAAAGTTCTATTTCCTTTAACAATACATAGCTACTTTCTGTAAATTTCCTTTTCAACTTAGACATTTCGAAAACTCTAAAATAGTCTCTGATGACTAAACTTTTAGCTGTTGTCTTGTCTCAGCACTCAACGTCGCTACTAATGTATTATGCAGAAAGGGCACAAAGTTTGTGAACTTGGAACAAATCACTGATTGCTCGCTTTCTCAATTACTTTGTTCTGAAGTTTATTTATATTCTTAGTTTACTGGTGTGGTACTTAGCGCTATTGTTCCGTCTATCTCTAAGTTGATTGGGGTTAAGTGTTAATTCTTAATAAAAGTTTATACCATGTTTTATTATGTATATTTGTGCCTGACTTAAATTAATGCCTTGAAAATCGTCGTATGAGTGGACCGGAGGCCCAATCCCCAACAATCCTCAAGTTCCTAATCCTCAAAAGGCCGGTATCGCACTTGTAACGCCTCTGGTGTTTCCAGTGTAAATGGGCTTTGCGGCAGCTTCATCATCCATCGGGTGATCCGTCTGCTCGTTTACTGGCTTATCCCATAAAAATACCACTATTGATTTTTAGGTCAGTAAAAAAACCATTCGTTGACAAAGGTTTTAAAGATCGACAGTGTTGCACCTCAATGCCCACCATAGTCAATACATATCTACCTACTGTCCCAGTCATGTGTTATTAATTATTGTTAACTAGCGACCCGCCCCGGCATTGCAAGGGTGCAATATGCATATAAACCTTCCTTATCTCGTCGAGTACCGGTTTTATAGACACAGTTAAAGAACAATAGGTCGCGGTCACCGGTGACCGCTTGGTGTTTAACAGTTTAAAATCAATCTATGTATCAAAATCCGGTGCGTACTTTTAAAGATCTAAGCATACATAGGGACAGACAGACGGCGGATAGCGACTTTGTTTTATACTATGTATTGATGATATAACAGTTACATAATATGTACAACTTACTGATTCCCTTTTTTTATTCCCCGACTCAAATCATGCAATACTCTCATCGACCACCACTATGCGACTATAGACTACCTTTAGCCAAACTAAACCTATCTGAAGTATCTCTTATCAAACTGGTATCTCAGTCAAACCCAATCCTGTGCCCTAAATGTACGCGAAATGTCAAAGGTTAACGGAACTGGGTTAATTGTGAGCAGCAAACTGAACACGCTGTACTTGTTGCACCCGATATTGATAGAGACACACCCTGTGTATGTGTAGATATGTGGGTATGTATGTGTGTATGTTGTGGTAGTGTAGTCTAATTAATGAATCTGTGATGTTTTACAGTGAATGTCTTGTAGGGTTATTTTTTAAAGAGCTGTTAAAATATTGATTTTAGCTTTAAATGTTAAACAACTGTATTCCTCCTTCCATTGGTACTCCTTTCTGTTTTTCCTTCCCGAAGAATTTTAAAATGGAAATCCAACTCTTAAGCCTTTAAGTGCCGATAAAACCTTCGCGCTTCAAAGAGTCATTAGACTACCACGGATGGGGCCCAATAGGGCTAATGCCGATGCGATGCCGCGGTGGAGGAGTCTGACACTAGGCGGGAGAAGTAATTCGATGATATTCCCACTATAAAATAAGCGTCGAACACCATTGTCCGAGACGTCATCCAATGTGTTAAGCTGATCCAAATATCAAATGAGATACTTTAATTAATGAGATAATTTCCACTTAAACTATCGTATTTGACACCGAGGACGCGAGGACACCGGTGACCGCAACCTATTGTTCTTTAATTGTGTCTATAACGACGGTACTCAAAGGGTTAATTACACTAAAATAACGCGTTGCAAGCACCAAATAAACAATATTACTGCAATTTGCAGTTTTTTAATCTTAAAACTAAAAAGTTGAACAAAAAGAAAAGAATTCAGGGATTTGCATTTAAGTAGAATTTGCAGGCAACGATAAACTTTTGAAATTAAAGCTCACATTAGCAGAACGAAGCATTTACTTGGGAACTTTGTTCTACGAGGACGTACTTATTAAGAAAATTTACGAGTGACTCGTGTTAGTCACTGGTTACAATGTAAAAGTAGTTTTCTTCTAGAAATGTATGATTTTTTTATGGCATTAGCCAGTAAACGAGCAGACGGATCACCTGATGTTAAGCAATCGGCGTCGCCCATGGACACCTGGAACACCAGAGGCGTTACAAGTGCGTTACCGGCTTTTTGGGGATTAGGAGTTTGAGGATCGTTGGGGATTCAGGGATTGAGGAGATTGGGGAAGGGGAGGGTAATTGGGCCTTGGTAACCTCAATCACACGACGAAACACAACGCAGGGCGTGATATCAATTCGGTCGATTCGTGCCGAAGCATGGCTCTCCCACACTTAAATGTGAGAAAGTAAAGTTGAGTGAGTGTGTAAAAATATATATGGGATACGGTATATAGGTATGTATGGGATCGATGATCTTAATGATTTCTTGAGAGAAAGAGAGTAAAGGAGAGAACTTTCAGTGCATATATATATAGTAAAGAGAGGGAAAGTGGGGGAAGCGGGGAACACAGGGCGTCAGTGGATTGCTTTTGGGGAGGCATACATGTACAGTGCTGGACGAAAACGATTTGATAAATATGCCATCAGGTGATCCGTCTGCTATTTGCCGAGTCTATACATGCAAGACACAAAATTATGCAAGATTAAGTAACATCGTCTATTAGGCACAAAGTCTGTCTCAGTCAACTTGGTAACATCACAAAAGGCAACCATCAACCTTATCTATGACTGACTTATGATTCCATCTCAGTTCTGCAGTTAAAACCTACATATTATCACTAACCAAAAACTAAACCAATGAACTAGAAATAATGACTTTAAGCCAGATAACATTGTTAATATTATAACATGGTAGTTAGACATGACGTGCCATATTTCACGGTTTCTGCAGCGTTGGCCGTTCATTATATCCAGCGATTAATTAGTGCTCTAACTAGCACAGATAGCAGGATTTTAGCCTGAACTGAACATGGCCTAATTTTGAGCTAAAACAATGCTGAGTTTAAATTATAATTAACGTGTGTAGCACCCATTTTTTGATACTAATTATTATGTTTCATTAAAGGATTAACTCGTCGAGTACCGTATTTATAGACACAATTAAAGAACAATAGGTTGCGGTCACCGGTGACCGCTTGGTGTTTGACAGTTTAATGAGGTGTTTTCTTGTTGAAGAATTCTGTTTTTTTTATGGAGTAGGAAACAAACAATCAGATGGATCACTTGATGGTAAACGATCAACGCCGCCCATGGATATCCGCAACACCAGAGGAGCCACAGGTTCAATGCCAGCCTTTTAAAAAGGAATACGCTCATTTATTGAATATTAATTTAAAGGTCGTATCGGTTCGGTAATACCGCTGATGACAGAATCGTTTTTGTTGAAGACCCTTTTATTATATTTTAAGGGGGGAAAATTAACGAATGACTGTGAGGTAAGGCGGACTTTTGTGTCAGACTTTTACTGACTAAAAACCACCCCGTTCCTTCTCCCGCGCTTCGAGCCAGAGCCCCAGTAACTCGTTAAGTTCTCCGCGACTCCGAATCGACATCAGCCCTATTGGGCCCCATCCGTGGTGGTCTAATGGCTCTTTGAGGCGTTGTTGAAGACACTTTTAATTATGTTATTTATCTTTACACATTAGGGAATATGTGAGATATAACGTTATAAAGTAACATATAATGTTCTATTTAACAACGATAAAACTAATTACTTACTTTATTGCTACGTTCATATAACCGCCATTTTAATGTTCGTATAATCAAATTATACTGAATGTTTATGTCTAATTAAACATACAATATGTAGAGCGTAATAAAAATAAACTTCCTATAAACAGAATTTGCATACTTTTACACGAAAAGTAATGTTTTTTGAACATTTTTTGTTTTTAAATGGAATGTGTCGCGTGTCTGACGTAAGACGATCTATTTTGTAATCACAAAGTATTTTAGTTTTTGTTGACAGTTTTAGTAATATTATTTCTAAAACTAAATCCATTATAAAATCATAAGTTAAAAAAATTACACTGATTTTTTTAGTCCACAAAATAGATATCTTATTTATGTCACCAAAGAATAAAATCGGAACAAATTACTTTCCTAACGCAATATAGGTACTCTGTAGATAGCAAAACAAAAAAGAAAATTAGCTAACGATGATATTGCCAATAATTACAATAGGCCTTAGACCTAACCTAGACCATTAGCAGATCTAAAAGCCCTATTTGATGTCTGAAAGGTTAAAAGCTGTTTTGTTCTCAATTTCATCATGTTTACACACAATGGAATTCAAATCTAATTAAGTAACCGACATACGAAATGACGCGCTTTTTAACCCCAGAAGAGTAGGCAGAGTAACCTACACATCTTCAACGTAATACGATCTCTCTTCACTAGTTTTTTTATTAGTCTTTCAGAGTCAAATTGTACCCCTATTAGGTACTATATGCCGCGTATAATTGTACACTCCGAGTTCTCACTGAGACTGATTTCGAGAAACCGAAAAAGAACCAATGTAGTTTTGCCTGACCAAGGAACTTTTTTTTTTAAGGGGGGAAAATCATCGAATGTCTGCTCTCACCTGGGTGAGGCGGAAGGGAGTGTCAGATTCTTACTGACTAAAAACCACCCCGTTCCTTCTCCTGCACGTCGAGCCGGAGCCCCGGTTACCCGTTAGGTTCTCCGCGACTGACCAAGGAACTTGAGACCCCTTCCTCGACAGTGGTGCTTGCGGCTTCTAGACTAACGAGGTAACCCAATTTCCTTAATTAGTCCAAATGAATCAGTTAACAAACACTTCCAAGTATTTTGTTAACTTTTACATAAACCCACTATTAATCAATTTGCGTGCACAAATCTGGTATTTGGATTGGTCGATTATGAATGTAAATAATATACACAAACATGCACATAGCTGTGCAGGTTTTTATATACTTTCAACATAGAATTTAATTACCGTGTGATGTGATAAAATCTTGTGTAGATTGTATAAATTATAATTGAATTTATAATTATGTTAGTACATAATTATGAATCTAT